CCCCCCACACACACACACACACACACACACAGAGACCAAGAGACCATAGGTCTGTCATTTCCTCTGTCTGTTACTGCTCCACATGCCCTTTTTCCTCTGTCATCCAAGCGGAAATTAGAGACCGGGACTAACCAGAATTACTTTTGGAAATTAAGAAATAAAGCCAAGAAGTGTATAAGAAACATTTCATGTAACACAAACAGAGAAAAGCAAACACAGACATACAAAGTTTACACATATTACTAACACAATAATAAATAGTAGTACAATGTAACACGTGTATGTCAATCTGAATATCAGAGAGCACACAATATATACGATGCTTCAACAACATGTTGACATAATGAAACATAATGTAATATATAAATCATACACATTTACATGCCAAATGTCACATGCAGAGCAAACCTCTTACATGTAAGTCCCAGACAGGCTGTGTTTGGCTTGGAAACACGAAGCATTCTGTTGGGAGTGTATACCTTACAACGTATAGGAGGCTTTTATGAGCGGATTGCTATAGATAGGCATCACATGCAAATCATGGCAGAAGCAATGCTAAAACTGAGACAAATGTTTTACTGGCAGCACAACATGCACATGTCACAGATTCACATGAATTTGTGTAAAAAGATGACATCCAGGCACATACATACACATACATACAGATGTGATTGTTTCATACCTGTTTTTTCCTGCAATCTGTCTCTTTGTCTGCTCTCTCCCTTAACCCCTCTCTTTTTCTTTTACACAGCTGCAGGCTGCTGCTTCACTCTCTGACAGTTTCCTCCCATCAGCATCTCCTCCTCTGACCTCTCTCTTCCTCCACCCCCCTTCCACTTCCTCACTCCCTTCCTCCCATCCTCCCCCTGCAGGGTGTCAGAGAGAATAGAGAGCCATGAACCTATGCTTCCTCACATAGGGTGATATACAAAAAATCCAGCGGACTTTTGTTTTTTCCCTGTTATCAAAGCTGAAACATGAATCATCCATGTAGTTTAAACTTTAGACAAATGTTAGCTTTCACATCAATCTCTACAACTATGATACGTATTAATCAATGCTAAATACCTAGTTGAATTATATGTGTTCTGTGTGCTTGTGTTTCTGAATAATGTTTTTTTTTTTCACATTTTACATTTACAAATATAAAATTGCACTGTATAAGTGTGTCTGGGGGGATAGATTGTAAGCTCCTTCAGAGAACATTAGAGGACAGTCTAATATATCAGCAGTGAATAAATAATAGAAATAAATAAATACACTAGACTTTGTAGGCATTCATCTAAATGATAATAAAGTATTAATGACATAATAATATCAAAGGATAATTACATTTATTAAGAAAGGAATAAAAAGAGGAGGTGGGAGTAAGCTGCTTTTAAAAAATAACAGTTAGATCCCCCAAATACTTACCTTTCTTCTAGAGCAGGGGTGGGGAACCATTTTCCTGCCAAGGGCCATTTGGACATTTATAACATCATTCACGGGCCATACAAAATCATCAACTTAAAAATTAGCGTGCTATATTTGGTCAAACATTTCATAAACCCATGTTGTGCTGGCTGGGACTGCTTCTCTTTGGTGAGGCATATGATGTTAGCTGGTATTGATGATGTTGTCCACCTGAGACCCTGCAGAGCCCACATGAGACCCTGCAGAGCCCACCTGAAGACCCGGCAGAGCCCACCATAGACGCCCACAAAGCACAACTGAGACCTCACACAGCTCGCCTGAGATCCCACACAGCCCCCCTGAGAGTGACCCTGCAATAACATGCAAATAACATGCATACTCACCTCCACAGACAAATTTCTCTATACAGACTGTCAGCAAGGGCTGAGCAGCTCAGGTGCTGCACGTGGCGGGGAGGGGCGGGGGGGGGCGGGGAGGGGCGGAGCGAGCCGGACCAAATGTGTCGAACGCTGCAGGTGGGGAGGGGCGGATCACCCCTTCCAGTCTACAGGTCATACTAGGGGAGTCGGCTGCCGGCTCAGATGGCCAGAGCAATCAATCCCGTAGGCCTTAAACAGGCCTCATGGGCCTGCTCTAGAGTGAGGGCTCATAGGGTACAGCTTATTCTTCACTACACATTTGCATCTTTGCTGTGACTCTCTGCGATGTTCAGGCATTGACTGGCTGCCTTTCCATGAGCATCAAATCAGTGCTTCTGCCTCACACAAAGATGAGATGAGAAGAGGAAATGAAGAGTAAGACAGCAGTACCACTCTAAGTAGTTAGGTATTTGTGAGATATCTCGCCGCCGGCATTGGCACTATCCTTGTCCAACTCGTTCATTCCCCTTCGTTTTTACATCCTCGAGATACCGCTCGTATTGACTCCTTGGGTCCCCGAACGGTCCGGCATTTGACATCGCCGCATATCCATGCAGCCGCGGCTCAGCCTGGCCAGCTGAGGCCGCGGTGTTCAAACGATCATCCCTGACAGCTATCAGACTGTTCTCCAGCACCTCTAGACCAGCTGACACGCGATACGCTGACATCAGTAACGTGAGTGAGTTGCTACAGAAGTGGCGCTTTTTCATTTTGTGATTTTATCTGTGTACTCATAGGGTTCCTCTCCCTGTTTCTGACAGAGCCTGCACACTGTACTCCTGTTTACTAACGGTTTCATAACACATAATTTATAGCCTTAATAGGTTTTTTTGCCCAGCAGTGGGTGCGCTCTAGCCTTTTTGTTGTGAATATATTATACAGCAATGCAGAGAGGCACCGGCTATAGAGGATTACAAATCCGAGCAATCTATTATACACCAATGCAGAATACAACTACTTATAGAGGACTACAAATTACAGCAGTCCATTATACATCAATGCAGAATAGCACCATTGATAGAGGACTACAAATCCCAGCAAAACATTATATAGCATGCGGGGTCTGACCAGGACTGTGCGTGGTCTTACCACTGCTGTGCGTGGTCTCACCAGGGCTGTAAAGGGTCTCACCAGGGCTGTGTGCGGTCTTACCAGAGCTGTGCAAGTTACACCAGGGCTGTCCGGTCTCAGGAAAATGTGTAGGTGGTGTGCGGTCTCACCAGGGCTGCATGTGGGTCTCTCCAGGGCTGTATGGGCAGATGTGGTGATCTCTAGGGCTGTACGGCGGGTGTGGGGCTCTCCAGGGCTGTGCCAGGCTCTGCGGGCAGCTGGAAGGAGATGCGCGGCTGGACCTGCGCTGTCAAAGGCAGCCAACGCAAGGTCCTCCGCAGGCTGACTGAGGTCCCCAGGAAACACAGGACGTCAGGCAGCCGAATCTATTTAAAAATTGAAAGTGCCGGTGTCGGCTAGTATTGGTATCAGTGCATTCCCACTGAGAAGCATTCAAATGCATGGCAATGCATTCATTAATGCATTCAAATGAATGGTAATGCAATGCACCTGCAGCACTGTAACACATGGTAGGTGCATTGCATGATAGCATGCATTAATTACATCGGTCTGATTTACTGCGGAAATTAATGAAATTTGAACTGTAGGTAGCCTTTCTGGCACCACCTTAGTTTGAAAATTGAAGGAGCTGGGTGTAAAATTCTTGACTGAACTGTGACTGCAGTAATTAGAAGAGACATTTAATAAAACTGATTAGGTGCGGTCACTGTTCAGGTATTCTGACAGACACAAATGCGCTTGCTGTATAATATAATAGCTGTAAGGGGAGAAACCTCCATCCATTCTCTCATTCACCCTGTGGTGTAAACAGGAAAAATCTCAAGTTGTATGGCTAGCGGAACTGTGGCCAGGACATGGAGCAAGCTCTGCTCATGCTGCTCCCTCCACTCAGCAGTGACTAGGCAGCCTTCTAATATCTAATATATACACAGAGCATATGACAACTTAAAGGACTTCATTGCTTCTGCTGTCAACTTTGAGGATGAATTTCTCCACAGTAACAAGTGGTAACAAGTAGTAAAGGAGTATGAAAATAAATATAAAAAACAAAGTGTCTCCTGCAAAAAAAAGAGTTCATACTAACCTCTCCCATTTCCTTTGTCACTGAAGGACACCAGTGGT